TCAATGTTGATCACAACTTTAGTTTCATAATAGTAGGTATCCTAATTTTTCCATAGAAGAAATTTAAACGGTTCCTGGTGCAGGCTGTAGGTTAACGGAGGCAACAGATTGAGCATGACCGGCCAATGGAGCAACATGTACGGCACCACGAGTCTTGGCAACAAATGTACCACTATGAGCTGGAACAACAGCAGGAGCAGCGACAACATGTGGAGCGGCAACAACAGCTGGGGCAGGGACAACAGCAGGAAGAGGGCCGGAAACAACTTGTACTGGTCCAGGACCGACAACAACCTGAGGGGGATGAGCCGCAACTGTAACAGCAGCAGGAGGATGAGCACCGACTACTACAGTACCGGGAAGTGGACCACCGACAACAACTGGTCCCCATGGAAGAACTGAGGAATTGACACCCAAAGCCAAAGCAAGCAAGACTACGGCGATGACGAACTGAAAATAACAAATGAAATGGGAAAGTTACAATATAAATCACTACTTTTGTTTTAATCAAAATGTTTGGATTCAACGTTAAATATTTCATCGACCGTTTGACGTTTAGATTTATTGGAAAAATCAAAACTTTATACACAATTGCATGTTTTTCTATAAAATTCTTTTTTTCTCCATTTCTAATACCAAAAAAGTTTTGTGGACGTTATGTGCAATATCCTTTTGGGGAGTAAAATCCTTTTGCTCCGACAGGATAACACATTTTTAATATTGTTAATTTATTGCACTATTTGTTTATCCTTCACACCAAGATTTTATGTTATTTCGATTTATTTTATATCCTTCATTGAATTGTCCACTTAATCCATTTTCAGCTCACCTTCATGTTTGCTATTTGGTTATTTGTAAAACGTTAGAAATAAATCTACTGGCATTTCAACTTTGATCCAAGCTTTTATAGCAAGCCAAACCAAACCAATTCTATTCCCAACATACATATTGTAAAAAATTTACATATTTCTTTTGTACTATTTAATTATTTAACATTCATCACCGGCTCACTCCACTACATAGAAAACACCCCGCCAATGCATTTCATTGTGTCCAGTTTTTGTAAGAACAAACAATTCCAGAACTTATTTCAACAACTTCAATGTCAACCTACACCAACCACCATAATAAACACCTGAGTTATTTTCACATCGTTACATGTTAATGTAAAGTGACCAAATAAAATTAGTTTTGTGTGCAAAGTCAACCAACCCGGAGAAATAAAAGTTACTTACATTATTACTTTGGTTCCTAATGACGGTCAACGGTCAATGTTGTCAATGTTCCTCCAATGATGCTACGTCTGTTTTATTTGCAGGATATAGTTCATATGAACATCTCTTGTATGTTTTCAAAGTGCTGAAGGATATCATATAGTCGACTTATTAACACTAGATTGCCAAAAGCCGTCATTTTGACCGTTTTTCAATTTCAAGTACAAAAACACTTGTGTATATTATGACACAGCTTTTTAAAATTTGGTGACTTTTTGTGTCACATAGAACTACTTTTATTAATCATAGTACTGCTTCCTCACCTCTCCTAATATCCTGCCTAAAATCGGTCATTTTGACCTCTTGTGAAATATTAAATAATCAAACTACTTTTATTATAGTATAAAGTAAATTTCGTATATGGCCAGATCAGTACAACAACATCGAAAACCGTTTCCTACTCTAGAAACACAAACGAACTCCCAAATCGGGAAAAATAAATTTTATATTTCTAGTCGAGTTCACTCTTAGAGTAAACACTTACTCTTTTTCGAACATTTTGTCAGCGTTCTTATTTTTCAAAAAGGGAAATTCGAGAGCCCTCTCACCGAAAACAAATAATAACAACGTTTTGTATGATATATAAATAATGTAAAAAATATTAAAAAATAAGTTTGAAAAAATTTCTTTAGACAATAAAAATTCTTTCAGAATGAGGTCATTTTGACCGATTTTAGGCGATTTAGGTCTATAAAAATTCTAGTCTTTCTATTTCCCCAGTCCTCTCTTTTATGTAAAATGAATTCAATTCGATTTGATGCTAGAATGATTGCAATCAACAGTCTTATTTATATCGGCATAGAAATTTACGCTGAATAAGAATTTATATTTTTGATGTGTTAAAAATTAAAAAAAAACAGTAGGAAAGTTCACCTGGGCCGACTATATGATACCCTTCACCACTTTGGCTATATTCAGATGAATCCTAACAGACGTCGCATTTGCAACCGATACTAAATTGTTCATTTGGTCAAATATAGAAGCTATATCTAAATCTGAACAGATTTCAGGAAACTTAACACACAACATTCTAGACCTAATTCATTACGCTGCACTATAGGTAATTTCACCTGTTTTTGAGACAAAAATTAATAACAGCGGTGTTAAACGATTTTTTGCCTTTTTAAATGATTTATATGTACAAGAAAGAGAAAACGCAGATTTCCACAGTACAAACCGGATATAACGAATAACGGTTATAAGCAACTACACATATAACGAACAAAGCAAATTCTTTCTCAGTTATTTTCAATACTTTTCATAAACACAACAAACGATTGATAACAATTGGGTTAGTGGGTTAACAAAATTTCAACCCCGCGATTAGATTTTTAAAGGAATAATTATTACAATGTTGTATATTTTTCCGGATCCCTTAATAACAATTAATTCAGTACCCATTTATACCCTTTACAGATATTAATATAAAAGGCGAACACGATTATAGTAAACACTGGATATACTGAACAATTTTTTTTCATATGCCACTTTTTAATTTCTAAATAATTCTGAAAAAAGTAAATTTTTGATGGTTTATATTCTAAGGGGAACTCAAGCCCTCTCTCCACTTTTTAGATTTTTTCTCATAATCTTTCCTTCGACAACCTATTTGCGTTTTACGATTCCCGTTATTTATTTTGTAATCAAAATTCGTGTGTATTCGTTTTTTCGTGGAAAAGTTCTATCTTCCTATGTCATTCGGTTCATCTTGACAAATGCAAGCAAAATAACTTAACCTATAATTTGACGTATTTTTAGTCCATATTGTAATTATTGCCAACTTTACTTGCGGGGACGTTGTAAACAACAATATGTGTGCATGCTTTTATTTCAAACCAAATGTCGAAAATTTTATTGTTTATTATTCTGAGGTTCCCTACAAAAAAACTGATATATCCTGAAAAACGCAAAATAGTAATTTTAAGACCTAATGGAATCAATTTAGAAGGCTTCCATTAATATATTTCAGGTGTCAAAAGATTAAACAAATTTAAACATTTTAGTAAAAGTCTATCTAAAATGACTTATGTGTAAAAAATAAACACATTATTTTATTATAGTCTCCTATGTAAATTTTGAATCGCTACACAAACGTATTAACAAATATTATATTAAATAAACAGCACACATCACCGCCAATACTCTCCCGGTTTAATTTTGATGGTTATGCTTTGTATTTAGCGGTTTTAAACGTTTTAAAATACGCCTTGATTTAAAAAATATATTTCTTTAATTTTATTTTCAAAGTGTAGAGTTTGGCCACGATTTCAACCGCTTTTAAGACACTTTTACTCAAAAAATTTTACAGAATCATAAATTTTGACATGTTTTCTTTTTAATGCCAAAAAAGATATTATTTTTCAAAATTGAAAAAAATTACTTTTTGCCTAAAAAACTGTCTAAATTACCTATAGTGCGTTGTGCCAAATTTCGTGCAAATCGAAATATATATAGGGACTTTTGTGTACCATTTACATTAAATCGGACGAAAATATATATGGGAGCTATATCTAAATCTGAACCGATTTTTCCCAATTTCAATAGGGTTCGTCCTTGGGCCAAATAAGTGATCTATGCCAAATTTCATCCAAATCGGATCATTAATGCGACCTTCAGTTTGTTCACAAAAATACATTTGACGGACAGACAGACGGACGGACATGCGTAAATCGACTCAGAAAGTGATTCTAAGCATATTCTCAAAAGGAACCATGTGTCTATCTCGTTTCCTTTTGCCTGTTACAAACATATGCACAAAGACATAATGCCCTGTACCACAGTGTGGTGAAGGGTATAAACAGCCCTTAAATAACATCGAAATTATGTTACATAGTATTACAATAATGTCTCTGATTAACAATTTACATGGAATCGGATAAAAATATATATGAGAACGGTACCCTCTGCCATTGAATCGATAGGGTTTGGTCAAGAGCCGAACAAAGAAGCTGTGCTAAATTTCATGACATTCGAATAGTAAATGCGTCCCACGAGGTGTTGCAAACGTCAATACTGTAAAAACTTACTACAACTCATTGGACACCCATTAGGTGTTTAGTGTAACATTAACATAGAATCGAACGAAAATATTAACAGGAGGAATATCTTAATCTGAAGCGATTTCATCCAAACTTACCAGACGTTATTTTAGACATATTTTTATACGTTGTGCAAAATGTTGTACTAATCGGATAAACGTTAGATCTTTGGTCCATCACTTACTTAAAATCTGACGAAAGTATATAGGGGAGCTATATCTAAATCCGAACAAATTCCAACAAAATATTACACACGTCAATTTGTACTTAATTCGCTACATTGTGCAAGATTTTGTGACTTGATTGACGTATGTAGGAACTATATCCAAATCAAAAACGTTTTGATTTTATAAATGAGTTGCACCAAATTTCTTCTCATTCAGACAAAAATGCGTCTTGTACCTTGTTCCGTAAATACAACGACAGGCAAACTGTGTAATAGTTGAAATCCGAAAATCATTGGGATAGAGAAGAATTAAAGAAGGTTAGGTATTAAGATACATTCAGATGACAGATGAAGAAAAATATGAAAGTAAGATATGTAGATAATGACTTCTAATTTCACAATTTTTAAATAAGTTTACCAAATTAACTAAATAAGGTGAAGGATGTCCATTATTATGTGTGTGAACATCTCTAAGATTTCACACTCAATATTAATTACAACTTTAATTTAATGTTCGTATTTATTCTAATTTTTACACAGATGGAATTTAAACGGTTCCTGGTGCAGGTTGTAGGTTAACGGAGGCAACAGATTGAGCATGACCGGCCAATGGAGCAACATGTACAGCACCACGAGTCTTGGCAACAAAGGTACCACTATGAGCTGGCACAACAGCAGGAGCAGCGACCACAGCTGGGGCGGGGACAACGCCAGGAAGAGGGCCGGAGACAACTTGTACTGGTCCAGGACCGACAACAACCTGAGGGGGGTGTGCAGCAACTGTAACAGCGGCGGGGGGATGTGCACCTAGTACAACTGTACCGGGTAAGGGACCACCGACAACAACTGGTCCCCAAGGAAGAACTGAAGAGTTGGCTCCCAAAGCCAAAGCAAGCAAGACTACGGCAATGACGAACTGAAAATAACGAATGAAATGGAAAAGTTTAAGTGAAATTTTAATTGAAATTTTTGGTGTCGATGTTAAATATTTCATCGATTATGTATAATATTTCGTTGTATTGATAAAATCCCCACTTTAAACACAATTGCATGTTTACAAAATTTCAAAAATAATTTCGAGACTGAAACATTGTTATTAAAGTTAATCGTCTCCAAAAATTCTAAATATCCGTTGAAATTTATTTAATTTTTGGTAGAAAATCCTTATTTAGCGATCTTCCACTCCTAATACCACAATGTTTTATAGACGTAATATATATTTGGGTTAGTTTAGACTTACGTTTGTTTACCCAATTAAATGAAATCAAAATGACGCGAGTTTCAATTAATATAAAAAAATTATATTTAAATTAACTTTGACAAAATATGAAATAAGAAAATTATCGAGATGAGTTGTGTAGGTGTGAACTGCATCGCTGCCGACAGGAAAGAGATCGAGAAAGTTCTCGTTTTTATGCAAATGCAAAAATGCATGTGCTTGCGCAATACCGGTTATCTGTCTTGGGTAATCTGTATTTGGTAGCTGAAGGTTGCCACATCTCTCCCCTCGGTGGAAAAGGCTACCGGAATCTTATAGGGAGCTTTATTCGCCTTCCACTTGATGTAGCTTTGGTCGCAGGCTGAACGGTCGGTGCGGTTGATGGCTCAGATGAATGTGTGGTATCGGCAGGACAATTTTGAAACGGCGAATCTGCACTGCAAGCATGACTGGTGATGTCTTCTGGTATATGTGGAATGCTAGGCACGAGATCATTTGGTGATGGATGAATTGTTGTCTGCTCATGTGAGCTTGCAGATTCTGTTGCAGGAAGAAAACATGGCTTTAAACGATCGATGCTAACATTGGTTTTTCGACCACGGACAAGTAATGTGAAATATTTGGGAAAGCGTTTTAAAACAATATACGGGCCATCGTAAGGATGAGTCAGAGAAGGATGAATTGAGTCATTGCGAACAAAAACGTGCGTAGTTGACGGGAGATCTTTTGAAACAAATGTTGTCTTTGTAGAGTGGTGTGATGTCTGAGTGGGTTGAATGCTTTTCATCGAATTTTGAAATTCCACTACAAAGTCGCTAGATTTTCTTGAAGAGTTGTTTTTGAGGAAGAATTCTCCTGGGACACTTAAGGTAGTACCGTACACTAGCTCTGCCGGCGATGCTTTGATGTCAGCTTTATACACAACACGGAGGCCAAGTAAGATTGTTGGAAGGTGATACATCCACTTTGATGAATCATGACATAGAATGGCAGATTTAAATGTCCTGTGCCATCTTTCTATTAAGCCGTTTGCCTGAGGGTGATATGGTGTAGTTCGTAAATGAGTAGTTCCAATCGTTTGCATTAGTTCAGCGAAAACCGCGGACTCGAATTGTCGGCCTCTGTCGGTAGTTATTCGATGTGGAACTCCAAATCGTGAAATCCAATGGGTTACCAGTCCTTTTGCTACGGATTCGGTAGACATGTCGGGTAATGGAACGGCTTCAGGCCAGCGCGTGAATCTGTCGATTATGGTGAGACAATATCGCTGCCCTTCACATAGTGGAAAGGGGCCAACGATGTCAACATTTATGTGTGAAAAACGCTCAGTAGGTGGCTCGTACATGTCTGGTGTTGATCTCGTGTGACGCTGCGTTTTTGATCGCTGGCATGGAATACATGTTTTGACAAAGCTCGCAATTTCTTTTTTCATCCCAGTCCAAACAAACCTCGAAGTAACTAATAAGGTTGTAGCACGAATTCCAGGATGAGCTAAGTTGTGTAATGAATTAAGTATCTGTTTCCGAAAACTTTTTGGGACGTATGGTCGAACTCGAGAAGTTGAAGTATCGCACGCAATTTGTTCATCACATCCTAAAATATCCAAATACTTTAATGTCAATGAGTTGTGGGACGTACCTTGATTTTTTATTAAATCATGCAGTTCATTGTCCTCTCTTTGCGCTGCTGCTAACTCCTTCAAATTGACGATTGCTTGATTTTGGTTGTTATGTATGGTATTTATGCGAGACAGGGCATCAGCAGTCGAATTATCCCGTCCAGGCGTATGTCTAAAATCAGTTGTAAACTGGCTAATAAAATCGAGCTGGCGCAACCTACGGGGAGATGCTTTTTCCATCTTCTGCTTGTAGGCGAATATTAGTGGGCGATGATCGGTAACTACGTAGCAAGGGCGTCCTTCAATTGCGTAGCGAAAGTGACAAACAGCCTGGTAGATGGCAGCTAACTCTCGGTCGTATGTTGAATATTTCTGCTGCGTCTCCGTTAGCTTTTTGGAATAAAACGCTAATGGTTGCATGTTGCCACTAACCTTTTGGTGCAATGCTGCTCCAACGGCTGTGTCTGATGCGTCAACGTAGACTGCTAATTCTGCGCCGGGTACGGGATGAGCAAGTAGCGTTGCGTTACATAATTCGGTTTTGCAGTGCTCAAACGCTTTTTCGGTGGCGGGAGACCATACCAGTGGTGTTGTGTCATTTTTTTTTTGTTACCCGATATCATGCCTTGTAAAACTCCTTGATAAGCGATGGTATGCGGCAAAAACTTTCTGTAAAAGTTGATCATTCCCATGAACCTTTTAAGCTCTTGCGCTGTCATCGGCTTTGGGTACTCTTTTATTACAACGACTTTTAGAAATCAAATATGTCGTCGACGTACGGGAACACACAATCGATGCCTCTAAACACTTCATTGATTAGTCGTTGAAAGGTCTGTGCGGCGTTTCGCAGGCCGAATGTCATGCAGTTGAACTCGTACAATCCAAATGGAGTACTAATGGCTGTTTTCGGAACATCATCCGGATGAATAGGAATTTGATGATATGCTTTTTGCAAATCGATTTTTGAAAAAAACTTGTTGCCTTTTAAATTATTTTGGAAGTCAGTCAAATAGGGTAGAGGATACATGTCGGGCAAAGTTTGAGCATTCAGAGCGCGGTAGTCTCCACACGGTCTCCACGACCCATCTTTTTTTTAACCATATGTAATGGGCTGCTCCAATTACTTTTAGACGGTTGACAAATTCCTGCTTCGGTGAGAAAATTGAACTCTTTTTTTGCTGCTTCAAGTATTTCTACGGACAATCTGCGAGGACGACAAAAAGTGGGTTGGCCAGTCGTTTCAATACGATGAAAAATGGTGGATTTTGTTTTGGTACCGTAAGTCGAGAGTTTCGTGATATCGCTGAATTCGTGCAAGAGATCTGCAAACGGGTTGTTTGTGCAAAACAGTTTAACACAGGCGATTTTTGAGGTCGATGGTAGCTGTAGCTGGGAGTTGTGACCGGTGATGTTGTCTATGAGACGATTACGGCGCAAATCGATCAACAAATCGTGATATTTGATGATGTCTGATCCTATTATTGGCGTCGCCACATCGGCAATGACAAATGAACAATAGAACTTTCGCTTTAAACCAAGGTCTAACTTTAAGCGCGTTTCACCAATAACTTTAATCGGGGAGCCGTTGGCAGCATACGATGTGACAGCCGTTGGGGACATGTTAGAAGATTTAGAAGAAAGAGGAAGCACAGATACGTCAGCACCACTGTCAACTAAAAAAATTTTTAGGGACCATCTGTCGGTAACTTGTAGGCGAAAAATATGGCATTTAGTGGGGGATTTTTCGCTGGAATCCACCACTGGCCTAAAAAGTCAATCTGAAGGGTGCGCTGTGACAGCGTGCGCTTGCCGTTGCTTATGCTTGCACGGGCTGCGGCATCTCCTTGCATTACGTCCATATTTTTTATGATACCAGCACTCGTCTAAATTTGAGGTTTCGCCGTCGGGTGAAGCTTGTCGATGCTGGGAACGGTGACGAGCAGTGTTATGTGTTCGAGATCGTGAACGTGACCGCATGGTAAATTGCTGGAACTTTCTACTTAAATCCATTATAGCTGTGCGTAGCTCGCTTATGTCACTGGTGTGGTCTTTGGACACCTTACATACCTGTGATGGTGACACGGCATCTACAATTGAGTCAGCTATTTTGGTAAATTCCGTTGCTGCACCATTTGACGCTGCTACCACAGGTTGCGCAAAAGTTGGCAATTTTTTAATCCAAAGACCTTTGAGTGCTGTTTCTCCTATCGAGTTGCCGGCTACTCTTTTCATTTCGAAAAAAAGCTCGGAAGGTTTTTTGTCGCCTAATGGCATTTCAGACAGGAGTCGGTTGAGTCGTCTCTGTTCGCTGTCGGCAAGATGGTCAATAATTTTCCGCTTGATGTATTCGAATCGGTCGGATGCTGGCATAGATGTGATAACCTCGACCAACTGCGCTATAATTTCAGGTTTTAGTGCGGCAAGCACGGTGGCGGCCTTTTGTTTGTCAGAGGTTATGCCAGAAGCACTGAACCAAAATTCCATTGAAACGAACCAGGCTTCGACATTCGTGTAACACATTTCTGGGAATGGCAAACGGGCATAAATGGCGGATACATTACTGGCGTTGCTTCTTGGCATTTGGCCTTGATCATCGTCATCGGTCTGCATAGCCACGGTGGATGACGTTGATAAATTGTTGGTTGTCATTTCTTTTTTGTGTTGTCTCGGGGTCACCAATTTGGGTTAGTTTAGACTTACGTTTGTTTACCCAATTAAATGAAATCAAAATGACGCGAGTTTCAATTAATATAAAAAAACTTATATTTAAATTAACTTTGACAAAATATGAAATAAGAAAATTATCGAGATGAGTTGTGTAGGTGTGAACTGCATCGCTGCCGACAGGAAAGAGATCGAGAAAGTTCTCGTTTTTATGCAAATGCAAAAATGCATGTGCTTGCGCAATACCGGTTATCTGTCTTGGGTAATCTGTATTTGGTAGCTGAAGGTTGCCACATATACAATATCCTTATGGAGGGTAAAATCCTTTTGCTGAAACTGGATAAACACTTTTTTAATATTTTTCAGTTTTGTATTTTTCCCACCAACATTTTATTTTATATTTTATACTTCATATCCTTCTTAAAATATCCTTAATCCATTTTTCTACTCCGCTCACCTTCATGTTTGCTATTTGGTTATTTGTAAAACGTTAGAAATAATTCTACTGACATTTCAGGTTTGATGCAACCTTTTATAGCAAACCAATTCTATTCCCAACATATTGTAAAAAATTTACATATTTGTTTTGTTCTATTTTTTATTCATTCCGGGCTTACACCGCTAGGTAGATAAAACGCCGCCAATGCATTTTAAAATGTCCAGTTTTTATTACAACAAATAATTCCAGAAATTATTTCAACAAAAGCAATGTCAAACAAAACCAGATTTGTGTGCGAAGTCAACCAACCCGGAGAAATATAAATTGCACACACTATTGCATAAATACTTTGGTGCATAATGACAATCAACGCCGATATATTTCCCTATATATGTTTAACAAACCCAACTTAAATCGGTGCTCTGCTAATAGTACCAACCACCATCATAAATGGTAAGCATATTAAAAACTGATATTTCATATAGCGAATGTGATTCGATATGGTCCATTTATTGCACATCGTAACATTTTATATCAAACCTTTATTCAATCTGAAGATGGAATCGCCCATCTGGATAGTGAACTTTTTCATAAAAATGTATATATCATGTAAAGCCAATTATAATTTGTTTTGGTCCAAAATCTGGGATGTTATAAATATAATGTCAGATTTTTATATTCAAACTAAAATGGCGTCTGTTTACCCCGAAACATAAATCAAAATTGATAGTTTTTGCTACGAAGATTTTCTATGCAATGAGAATCCAAAATACTATATTACAGTCCAAAATCTCCAAATTGACTGGACTGTAAAACCGAAATATTATCGTATTATAGAGCTTCTATATTAATATTATTAAATGTTGTAGGATCAACATAGCAAGAAATCCTGGTTTATTTATTACGGGCATAACATTAAAATTGGAATTAAGCGAATATGGGGTCTTTTTACACCGAAACTTAAGCCTAAATTGATAGGTTTTCCTACATGTCCGAAATCCCCATATTGACTGGATTCTAAACCCGATATATTATCGTATTATATATGTGCTAATATTTATCATCAGAAATGGTTTTATTGGTTTTCAAAGTATTCTTCAGCATAATTGTATGCGTGCAAAGCAATTATCGATGAACATTTTCCACTCTGATTGAAACACGTGAATTTGTAATGAATCAACAGATTCTTCTAGCGGCGAAACGGGCTCATGCGCCTTTCATGATTCGTCATCTGTTATAAAATTTTGAAGCACCGCAATTTTATCAACATTATGATGCACCAAGGAAAGGACCTATCGGAGCTCTTCAATACCGAACGAGGATTCAGACAAGGTGACAGTTTGTCGTGTGATCTTTTTAACATCTTACTGGAAAAGGTCATACGAGATACAAAGGTGAACAGAAATGGCACTCTGTACCCCAAACAACACATGTTACTCGCCTACGCCGATGATATCGATATAATGGGTCGAACATTGCGAGCGGTAACAGCCACCTTTGAACAAATAGAAAAGGAGTCTGCCATAGTGGGTCTGGCAGTAAACGGCGAGAAGACCAAGCTGATGGTATCAATGCGCAAGACGTCCAGTAGACTCGGACCAACTGTGGAACTTGAGAACCACAGCTTCGAGGTAGTTAAAAGACTTTATATACCTTGGTACCGCCATAAATAAAACGAATGACATCAGTTTTGAAATTCGGAGAAGGATTGTGATGGCCAACAGACGCTACTATGGTCTAAGTAAGCAGTTCAGAAACAAGGCCACCTCCCGCCAGACCAAACTCACACTTTACAAGACGCTGATACTACCCGTGCTATTATATGGATCAGAAGCATGGGTACTTGCGCAAGCAGATGAGGCAGCTCTTGGGGTGTTTGAGAGAAAAATCCTCCGAAAGATCTACGGGCCGATCTGCGTCGACGGTGAATATCGGCGTCGAATGAATCACGAGCTTTACAATTTATACGCGGACATCGACATAGTCAGTCGTATTGAGCTGCAGCGACTACGGTGGTTAGGCCATGTTATGCGGATGAATGAAAATGCCCCAGCTCAAAAGGCATATACAAATTAGCCCACTGATGGTTCCCGTAGAAGGGGAAGGCCACGAATTAGATGGAAAGACCAAGTAGAAAACAACATCTTGGAACGTGGTCTTCCAAATTGGTGGACTTGCGCACAAGACCGACGCGCTTGGAAATCTTTTTTAAGCTCGGCTTATGGAACAACCGTCCTGTAACAAGCACCAATAGACACGACTCTTTTTTCCACTTATTTTACTATTATAATTAATTTAAATTGTTGCTGGAGCACTACGAGTCTTAGCAACAAAAGTACCACTATTAGCAGGAACTGCGGTATGAGCAGCAACCACAGCTATAGCAACAACAACATATGGTGCGGGAAGAAGAGCTGGGGAAGCAAAACAACTGGAAGAGGTCCGAAGACAACTTGCTGATGGATGAACACAAATAATACAGTACCAGGAAGATTTTACCCTTTGTGCCCCGAATTTTTTTGGACTGTACACACAAATTTACCCAAAATTTTTCACAACGCACAAAATTTGCAGATAGAATGACGTAATTGCGTTATGTAGTGTAGGCATATCCCATATATTATCTACCGACTTCATGTTAATTGGGCTCCAAGTAATCAACGTATGCCCGATTGTGATTTGCTTTAAATCGATTTACATAATTTTGTCCCATTGTATACAAACGACTCTATATCTGTCCAAATGAACAATTTAGTATAGGTTGCAGAATGGGATCGTAAATATCACATATATTCATGTTAATTCTCCTTCAAAAAAGCGACGTATGTAGGATGCATCTGTTGAATAAACCCAAAGAGGTGAAGGGTATCATATATTCTGATTTCCTGGCTTTCTATTATTTTAAGGCATTTAATATTTATGCCGGCCAAAGATAGACTGATTAAAATGCATTTCATTATGAAAATCAACGATTCCGGAATAACTTCAATATCAACCTACACTAACGTGTGTTGGCTTTTACTATGTCATATGCAAATTGACTAAACCACCAGTTCTGTAAGTAGCGTCAATGAACCCGGAGATACATAAATCTATATATATAAAATAGAAAACAATTTGTTTGTTTGTATGTTACCGATAGACGCAAAACCGCTAAACAAATTTTAAAGAGATTTACGCTGTGTGTCGGGGCATGCCCTGAAAGTAACATAGGCTATATAAACTTTTAAAATTCCGCGTGGATGCGGAGTTATAGCATCAATAGTAAACATACCTCCAAATTTCTGAATATGTAATATGCGTTTATCTTAAGAACGGTTACAGATACCGTTTTCAAAATTTGCCTGAATAACGAAGGTGTGAATAATGAAGGTGTGTTTTACTGCATTCTAAAAATCAGCATATTGAAATTTTAAAATATTTTGTTTGTAGACTCCAAAAATGATGAAAACATTTTACTGAGATTTTCGCAGAACGTCATAACATGCCCTGGGAATAACATATGCTATATAAACTTCTAAGATTTCCCGTTGTGTGGTGGTCTTATAGCATCGAACGTAATCATACCTCAAAAATTATGAACGTGTAATTTGTGTATACCTTAAGTACGGTTACAGATACCGATTTAAAACTATTCCTGAGTAACGTAAGTGATAATCCGCATCATCCACCAACATGACCGTGGACAAGGGAAAATGCACACCTCATTGCATTTAAATCTATACGTAGAAAAAAGAAAACATATTGTTTGTGGACTTAAAAACCACTAAACAGATTTTACTAAAATATTCATAGTAAGTCAAGCGATAAAAAACTGAGGAGTAATAGCATCAAAGTATTCATATATCTGAAAGAATGTACATACATATGTAGAACTTTTTCTATGGGTAGCGACTTGAAAATATGGTTGAGTAACATGATCTCTCGCTTGTGGAGATTTTATCTATTTTCAGAATTTTAGATATTGAAAATGTGGGGTTCCACAAGATTGACATAAACATATGCAGAAAATGTTCAATCAAAGTACATGTTTTGCCATAGCTTCTATATAAAGATCCCAGAATTTTTTCAGTAAAGTTAACGTTTTAAATTGTGCCACTCAATAAAGCTAGCCACCCATTTTTAGAAATTGTTGTATGTTCTTCGAGGTGAAAACTCAACTTTTAGCGTTCGTTTAAAGACAAATTTGACATAGCATCCATATAAAGGTCCTGTTCTAGTTTATGTAGTTTGGTGGTTGGTAAATAGGTCCAATTTAATAATCCTCTAATGGTGGAAGTTATACAAGTTCGGTGTTTGGTCCTCTTCGTCATAAAAATGGCAGCAAAATCGATTTATTTTTGACTAAAATCTGATTTCAAATCAACTTTTAAACGTTCGTGGAAGGTAAATAATTTTTAAGTATATAATTTATTTCCAAATTTTTACATAGTTCTCTTATAATGGTTCATTCGACCCCTTAAATACTAACCGATCATTACCGAAACCAATAGGCACTTTTTTGACCGGAAACGGGCTTACTTGCAAAATTTCGTGACGATGGACACTCATGTCCAGAACGACTCAACTAGTCAAGATATGAAGATCGGTATACTAAAAGGTGGGTCTATGACCACTATTTCGCGGCATCACAAACTCTCGAATCCACACAAAGCTATAATATCCTTACAACATGGTTGTTTATATTATTTTATGTTTATGTTAAACATGTTCTTGTATTTATTTGTAAAATGCGTTTATTTTTAACTTTTTAACCTGTTTTTTGAGGTCATTTACAGATTAGGCATAATAGTAAAGTTGATAGAGCTTACAAAAACTGGAAGACAACAAAATTCGTAAATAATTTATATCCGAAACTATTTCCTTTTGCAACTAAACATGGTGAAGTCTGTCCTTAGATATGTGAGGGTGTGAAGATTCAAAGAATCTCCTAAGCTTATACTAGTACTCAGTAAACTCACAAATTTTATCATTTATTCTCAAAAACAATTTAAACGGTACCAGGAGCTGGTTGTAGGTTAACTGAGGCAACTGA